TTTAAATCTCTCTATATCATGTTTGGACTGAACATAATCCACGAAGATATGGAGATAAAAAATCTACATCTAAACAACTAAGCATAATCATTGACAAAGTAGTTCGCAATCGAATAAGCTCTATACATACGGCCGATAACCCCTATGAAGATGGCATGGTGGTCTGGTTTGTAGCTCGGAACCGTTCACATACTTGAAGGTTTTTTTCTCTAATTGACTTAATGTTTTAAGTTTTGTTTTCTTAAATCATTTTTTTTCTGCAGTGGATATAAAACATAGTTTTTTATCTGAATACAAATTTTATATTTTTTAAAAGAAAAGGATGTAAATGTTAAAAAATGAGACTTTAGGTTGTTAGAGATTTAGAAGAATTTTTGTACGCATGTGNAAACACATAAAATACAACAAATTTATATCATAAGATCATGAAATACAACAAATCTAAAAGATAGTAGGAACTAGGAAGATTCGAACATTATTTATTCCATCGACCGACACGTTGACTTTCCAAAGTGTACAAGAATACCCTTGCGACTCCAAAACAAAAGCATGAAGATTCAAGAAGTACAGTGAGGGCAATTCGGGTAATATCAATAAACAAAATGGGAAGCGAGGGAAGGCCTAAAATCTGAATAAATGGTTGTTAGTGATAATGTTATTTATTTATTTTTATAAGGGATATTACGCGTCATTCATCGACCGTCGATTTCATAATTTAATTACAAAAAAAAAAAAAAATACATATTTTTCTCCGTTATTTGCTTCTTCTTCCAAATTTGCTCTCTGCTTTTAACATCAATCAGAGATTATTTACGGGCAATACCATTTCTGGATTTTTGTTTACTCTGATTCGTTCTTCGTTTTGTTTCGATCACTGAACTTCGATTCTTTCAAACGCGTTTCTGGATTTCGATTTCGCAGTCTCAGGCTCACGCTCAGGTTTGATTCTCGGACCTCGTGAAATCAGTGATTTATCCCTCTGTTTTTGAATCAGATTTGTTGGTTTAGATTTCGCGTCTCGATTGATGACGAATTTAGTTACTAGAGAAGGGAGAAAATGTAGAATCTGGGCTTTGTGTTTGAATTTGAGCTTCTAGTGTCTTACTTTCGTATGTGTTTCAAAGCCTAAAAAATTACAGAAACTGAGTTCTGTGTCCGAACGTGGTCGGTTTAGATTCTTAGTTTCGTAGCTTTGCTCACTTGTGTTTAAAGTAGTGATTGGAGCTTCGAATATCACGAATTAGTAGCCTCCACCATTCCACTTACATGCCTTATGTTTGTCACATTTGGTCCTATAATTTCTTGGGGAAAGTATTAGCAATCACACAAGTGTTTGCGCTTAATCTTAGTTAAAAGACATCCCTTTTTGGTTTAAATCTTAAAAGTATATGGACCTTCACTTGAACAGTGATCAAGACAATAGAGCGTACAGAGTTCATTTTTTTTTTCTGTTTATAATGAGCTTCTACTTTCTAACCTTGAGTCTCTATTTTGCATCATTAATGGTTGGTTGAAATGTGAATTTATTTCTTTCATGCATAGTTTTTTTTTTTTCTTAAACTTGAATCTATGTGCTTCTCATTTGATTTATTATGCAGTTCTAGAGCTGAGTGTATACAAAGCTTGGAGGTATTGATCCCATCGCCATAAGATGCTTGTGTCTGCCCTTCTTATGTCTGTTGGGATAAACTCTTGCCTCTGTGTATTGTTCTTCATACTTTACTCTGTACTGAGGAAGCAGCCACACAACTATGAGGTGTTTTTACCTCGTCGACTTGCAGCAGGGACGTCTAAAAGAAGACGTAACAAAGTGGCGAGGTATATCCCGTCTGTTCGTTGGATTTGGAAATCATGGAGGCCATCAGAAAAGGAACTGATGGAATCCTCTGGCCTTGACGGGGTTGTATTTATGAGAATGATAACTTTCAGGTATTTCCAACTCTACATACCGCAATATCTCTGATTTTCTTTTCTTTGTTCATGGACTTTTTCCGTAACTTTTCCATATCTTAATCTTAGACTTGAAATACTCCATAGTTTGTACGTTTGCTTTGTTTATCTATCATGCATTGTGATTATTCTCTCATTCTGCAGTTTGAAAGTGTTCTTGTTTGCTGGGATCATTGGGATTTTTGTTATCTTGCCTGTGAACTGCTTTGGAGATCAAATTATACAGATCGACTATGCTGACTGGTCAGCGAATTCCTTGGATATATTTTCTGTTGCAAACCTCAAAATCAACTCGCCATGGTAACCTCAAACTTTTATATTATGATTACTATTGTTACTCGGGTGAGTAGATAATGCAGCTTAGTTTCAAGCCACTTGCCTTTCTGCTAGGCTTATATGACATTTCATTATAGCTAAATTTAAACTGCTTTCTGTACCAGGCTGTGGGTTCACTTTGGAGCTATATATCTTGTGACTGCATATATCTGTTGTCTTCTTTACTTTGTAAGGGCATGTCTTCTGGTTACTGAAATGAATACCCAAGTTCTTAGTGATGACTCTTTAGAAAATTGTCACAAGTATTGGCTCTCTTAGTCTGATATATTGTCACTAGTATCGTCTTTCTTTGACAGGAATTCAGATATATTGGCTTGAAAAGGATTGAGCATTTCCATTCATCCAAACCTCAGCCACATCAGTTCACCATATTGGTTCGTAATATCCCCTCTTCAGATGGAAGCAGTGTGAGTGACAGTGTTGACAGGTTCTTCACAGAAAATCATTTCTCTACCTACCTGTCTCATGTGGTTATCCATCGAACAAGTAAAGTTCGAAGCATCGTTGTAAGTCCTGATACAGCTAATTTGCCTTCCATTGGACAGTATATTTTTGTATGTGCGTGCTATCACGACCTATTACAACCTTATCTCTTGGTTACACTTTTTTTCAACTCTGCTCTTGCAGGATCGTGCCAAAAAGTTGTATAAACAAGCGAAACGTAAGAAGCCAGATCCTCATCAAGTTAAACGGACGCCAATGAGATTCTTTAGTCGCAAGGATACTCCTGAGGGTCACTATGAGAAAGTGTTACAGGAATTGGAGCATAACATACGATTGGGGCAAGCTGAAGTTTCATCACCTGGAAAAGTATGCCTCAGATGATTTATCACCTGATTATGCGTCGCTTTCTTTGGATTTGCTTGCAATCGGTGCTTGCATAAAATGATTATATATTGGACTTTCGTTCTAGAATCTTCCTTCTCATTATTTGCATGTTTCCTCTCGTCGTGTAGGAAGTTAGAGCTGCTTTTGTATCATTCAAGTCTCGATATGGTGGTGCAATGGCACTACACATGCCACAATCAATCAACCCCACTTACTGGCTCACTGAACCAGCACCAGAACCTCATGACGTCCACTGGCCTTTCTTCTCTGCATCATTTATGCAGAAATGGCTTGCTAAGATTGTGATTGTGTTCGCTTGTCTCCTCCTTACTATCTTGTTTCTTATTCCAGTCGTACTTGTCCAAGGTCTCACCAACCTGCCTGCGCTAGAATTCGTGTTCCCGTTCTTGACATTGATTCTATCAATGTAAGTTAAAAAATTCCACCCCCATTACCTTGAACAATACTTTACGCTCACTGTGATAAACGTTACTTATCTCTGTTGCAGGAAGATTGTAAGTCAAATAATAACTGGATACCTTCCAAGTCTTATACTTCAGACGTCTCTGAAAATTGTACCTCCCATCATGGAGTTTCTCTCTTCTATCCAAGGGCACATTTGCCACAGCGAAATACAAAAGAGTGCTTGCAACAAGGTGATCTGGTTCACAATATGGAATGTGTTCTTCGCAACTGTTTTCTCTGGGTCAGCCTTCTCCAAGCTTTCTGTAATTCTTGATCCAAAGGAAATTCCGGTCAAGTTGGCTGTGGCTGTTCCGGCTCAGGTAAAAACCTTCTCCCACCATTTATCGACAGTTCGACACACACAATGGTCACGACTCTTGGTTGAAAACTGAATTAACTGCCAAGAATCAGACTTCATTTTTTACTGATTGGTTTACATCTTTTGCAGGCATCATTTTTCATTGCCTATGTCGTCACAACAGGATGGACGGATACTCTCACTGAACTCTTCCGAGTTGTTCCCTTCATGGTCAGCTACGTAAAAAGATCACTCGAACCATCAGATGACAATGAACTTGATATCCCGGCAATGCGGTATCACAGAGACACCCCAAGAGTTCTCTTCTTTGGGCTTCTTGGTATTACATACTTCTTCTTAGCTCCATTGATCCTTCCTTTCATCCTTCTCTACTTTTGCCTTGCATACATCATCTACCGAAACCAGGTATGTATGACACACATCTCATACTCCTTTAGATTTCTCCTTCCACTAGACTAAAAGCACTCAATTGCATTTCCAAATGCAGTTCATAAACGTGTACGAACCAAAGTATGAAACAGGAGGGATGTTTTGGCCAATGATACACTATACGATGATATTCTCTCTTGTACTCATGCAAGCAATCGCAATCGGTCTGTTTGCTCTCAAGAAGATGGAACTAGCCACATACTTGCTTGTCCCTCTTCCCGTTTTCACTCTTCTCTTCAACGAGTTCTGTCGTAAACGCTTCATGCCTATATTCACCGCTTATCCTGCCGAGGTACAAATCCCACACAAACAATCAAGAAGCGAATCCGAAATCTCCCAGGAGAATTACAAGATATATATGGATTTTAACCCTCTATGTTTTGTGGCTGTTTTAGGTGTTGACAAAGAGAGACAGAGAAGATAGACACGATCCAAGAATGGCTGAGTTTTACGATAAATTGGTCACCGCGTATCAAGATCCTGCTCTGCTCCCACTTCGATTCTCAGGAAGCAGAAATGATAGCCTCACTAGTCCTCTTCTATCTTCTAATGAGGTTTGATTCTCTTCTTCTATACAGCTTTCCTTTGTACACACACATACACATGTGCATATAAACTTCACTTATACCTCAAAACATGAGATCTTATATTGAAACTCAATATCATGTTTTATAGATTATTTGTAAATCCATTTTTTTGTTTTAATGCAAAGATTATTTGTAAATCTGATGATGTGTTACAGTTACACCATCTTTATCGGCTCTTGTCTAAATCAAATATTGGTAAATGGAATGATGGGTCTCATCTTATATTTATTATTTATTATGTTGGTTAGAGCGATTAGACCTTGATCTTTGAATTCAATATTAATTTAAATTTTCGTCATTAGCATATTTTTCTTTCCTCCTGAACCGTGCCAGTGGAGGCGTCTCACAGTGGATTTCCGAAACACATGTGAAAAAGAAAATAAGGAGATAAACAATGGAGTAATAATATGATTTAGGGTCCACGTTACTCATATTTTTCATGTCGACATCACCACATTCCCATAATTATAATTTTTATATGATAAAAGTTTTGAGATAGTTGACCAAAAAACTAAATTGAGTTTAGCATAGAAAAATCAAATTTTGAAACAGGAAGTTATCAGTTTAGCGGCTTTTAGAGTTGTTAATTAACTTGTTATACAAAAGAGAAATGGAAAAAAAAAACTAATATAATAATTAATTAGAGCTAATCTATTTGGATTAAAAGTAGAGCAAATTTAGCCAAAAACAATGGGTTATAGAGAACTTTAAGCTTTGACCAAATCTCTTTGGTCCCAGTAATCTTTTGTTGTTCCATACATAAAGGAAACTCTTTGAGGCGGACCATTTTTCTTCAATAGATATTTTTTTATTCTCTTTTAGCATTAGATTAATTCGAATATAATGCCATACATAACAGGTTCACAGGGTCCGAATGGAGAAAGCGGAACAGGCAGTGCGAATCAAGCAAATCTAATGGATCGAACGTTACAAAAGCGGATCTAGCGGATCGAGCGGTACAAAAGCGGATCAAGCAGATCTAGCGGTCCAAAATGTATGTTCGAATGGTAAAAGTGAATAAAAAAAGGTCCAAAACACTGTATATATTATATAATTTATACAAAATTCAAAATTAATACTTTTTGC